GGTCGATGTGAGCCCCCTCACGTCGCTTAGCCCATGGCGGGCACTCACAACGTGAGGGGGCGGTTACGTGGAGTGATGACGGTGGTGGTGGGAGGAGAGAGGGTTGTATTTGGACCAGCGTGAAAGCCGTTGCCTGTCCTCTTCTGATGAGGAAGACAACTTGGGCATAATGTCCAAAACAAATGACATGGCAATAGCAATATGTGAAGTCATGTCAGTCCTTCAACCATATCCCCAAGAACATATAACTGTATTTTGAGATAGTAGGTATCAATAGGAAGGCACAGAATTAATTGCCTTTTCTGATGTGAAAGACAACTTGTGCATCATGTCAAAAACTAATGCTGCAGCAATGGCAATATGTGAGATCATGTCAATCCTTCAACCATATCCCCAATACCCTACACATAGTCAAGGACACTATAAACTAAAGTGAACTACAAACTTTTGTAGTCCCAAAAAGCGGACACTACAAACTTTTGTAGTGAAAAAGCGCACACCCTACAAACTTTTGTAGTCTCAAAAAGCAGACACTTTAAACTTTTGTAGTGAAAAAGCGCACACAATACAAACTTTTGTAGTCTCAGCAAGTGGACACTTTAAGCTTTTGTAGTCTACTGCAACATACCCCAGCCATTTCTCCATCAAATATGTGCCATGAATGGGATGGATGGGTCAGGCTGACTTTGGATGACCTTTTAACCCTAACTCTAACTGTATAGTCTAAGTCTGACTTTTGTAGTCTTTTGTAGTCTGTCAGTAAACTTTGTAGTCTAGGTCCAACCTGTAGTCTTTTGTAGTTTGTCAGTAAACTTTGTAGTCTAAGTCTGACTTTTGTAGTCTTTTGTAGTTTGTCAGTAAACTTTGTAATCTAAGTCCAACTTCTGCAGTCTTTTGTAGTTTGCCAGTAAACTTTGTAGTCTATGTCTAACTTTTTGTGTTGTAGTCTTTTGTAGTTTGTCAGTAAACTCTGTAGTCTAAGTCCAACTTTTTGTGATATCTTGTAGTCTATTAGTAGACTTTGTAGTCTGTCAGTGTCAGTTTCCCTTTTAAGGCATGCACCTTCCTTTTTTGGTCATTTTTCCAACGATACAATAATTGTAGCCCTTTCTTTTAGCTTTCTAAATGTGTTGAAATCATGTTGTTTGGTTTGGTTTTCCAGTACTTATCACTCCCCCACCTATTCCTACTGGACTCCAGGACTCCAGTAAGATTCCTACTGGATTCCAGGACTCCAGTAGGATTCCCCCTGGATTCCAACAATTCTTCCAAAAAAGGCATTTTCCACCTATTGGACTCCTACTGGACTCCTACTGGACTCCAACTGGACTCCAACTGAACTTAGACAAAAAAATCCAATGCTTCAGTTGGACTCCTACTGGATTCCTACTTGAGTATCATGCATTCTATCAATTTTTGATTAAGTCAGTCAGACCTTTTAGCACCTCAAAATTCCATACCAAACTTGCATAAAACATAGATATTATATTGATAACTATATACACAAATATATACAAAAAGTATTTAATAATCTAATGTGGTCAGGGAGGGGGAGGGAGGAAGTGGTGGGGAATGATGAA